TCAGCCGGGCTGTGTTGTATACGTTGGACTGCGGGCGGCGGGTACTAACAACTTGATCAATCAGGACGGCAACCAGGAGGCTTGGTCTGGGTCCGAGCAGCGGGGTCGATGACCTTCGGAAGCGACTCCAGGTAACGTCCAGGGGGTATTGGCCAGGGTACTATGTAGTGATAGTGGCCAGGACACTATGTGGTGATAGTGGTCAGGACACTATGTGATGATAGTGGCCAGGACACTATGTGGTGATAGTGGCCAGGACACTATGTGGTGATAGTGGTCAGGGTACTATGTGGTGATAGTGGCCGGGATACTAGACACTATGTGGTGATAGTGGTCAGGGTACTATGTGGTGACAGTGGTCAGGGTACTATGTGGTGATAGTGGCCAGGATACTATGTGGTGACCGTGGCCAGGGTAATATGTGGTGATAGCGGCCAGGATAATATGTAGTCAGAGTGGCCAGGGTACTATTTAGTGAGAGTGGAGGAACTATTTAGTGAGAGTCGCCAGGATACTATGTGGTGAGAGTGCCCAGGGTACTATGTGGTGAGAGTGGCCAGGGTACTAAGTGGTGAGAGTGGCCAGGGTACTAAGTGGTGAGAGTGGCCAGGGTACTATGTGGTGATAGTGGCCAGGGCACTATGTGGTGAGAGTTGCCAGGGCACTATGTGGTAAGAGTTGCCAGGGTACTATGTGGTGAGAGTTGCCAGGGTACTATGTGGTGAGAGTTGCCAGGGCACTATGTGGTGAGAGTTGCCAGGGCACTATGTGGTGAGAGTTGCCAGGGTACTATGTGGTGAGAGTTGCCAGGGTACTATGTGGTGAGAGTTGCCAGGGTACTATGTGGTGAGAGTTGCCAGGGTACTATGTGGTGAGAGTTGCCAGGGTACTATGTGGTGAGAGTTGCCAGGGTACTATGTGGTGAGAGTTGCCAGGGTACTATGTGGTGAGAGTTGCCAGGGTACTATGTGGTGAGAGTTGCCAGGGCACTATGTGGTGAGAGTTGCCAGGGCACTATGTGGTGAGAGTTGCCAGGGTACTATGTGGTGAGAGTTGCCAGGGTACTATGTGGTGAGAGTTGCCAGGGTACTATGTGGTGAGAGTTGCCAGGGTACTATGTGGTGAGAGTTGCCAGGGTACTATGTGGTGAGAGTTGCCAGGGTACTATGTGGTGAGAGTTGCCAGGGTACTATGTGGTGAGAGTTGCCAGGGTACTATGTGGTGAGAGTTGCCAGGGTACTATGTGGTGAGAGTTGCCAGGGTACTATGTGGTGAGAGTTGCCAGGGTACTATGTGGTGAGAGTTGCCAGGGTACTATGTGGTGAGAGTTGCCACTGTACTATGTGGTGAGAGTTGCCAGGGTACTATGTGGTGAGAGTTGTCAGGGTACTATGTGGTGAGAGTTGCCAGGGTACTATGTGGTGAGAGTTGCCAGGGTACTATGTGGTGAGAGTTGCCAGGGTACTATGTGGTGAGAGTTGCCAGGGTACTATGTGGTGAGAGTTGCCAGGGCACTATGTGGTGAGAGTTGCCAGGGTACTATGTGGTGAGAGTTGCCAGGGCACTATGTGGTGAGAGTTGCCAGGGTACTATGTGGTGAGAGTTGCCAGGGTACTATGTGGTGAGAGTTGCCAGGGTACTATGTGGTGAGAGTTGCCAGGGTACTATGTGGTGAGAGTTGCCAGGGCACTATGTGGTGAGAGTTGCCAGGGTACTATGTGGTGAGAGTTGCCAGGGTACTATGTGGTGAGAGTTGCCAGGGTACTATGTGGTGAGAGTTGCCAGGGTACTATGTGGTGAGAGTTGCCAGGGTACTATGTGGTGAGAGTTGCCAGGGCACTATGTGGTGAGAGTTGCCAGGGTACTATGTGGTGAGAGTTGCCAGGGTACTATGTGGTGAGAGTTGCCAGGGCACTATGTGGTGAGAGTTGCCAGGGTACTATGTGGTGAGAGTTGCCAGGGTACTATGTGGTGAGAGTTGCCAGGGTACTATGTGGTGAGAGTTGCCAGGGTACTATGTGGTGAGAGTTGCCAGGGTACTATGTGGTGAGAGTTGCCAGGGTACTATGTGGTGAGAGTTGCCAGGGTACTATGTGGTGAGAGTTGCCAGGGTACTATGTGGTGAGAGTTGCCAGGGTACTATGTGGTGAGAGTTGCCAGGGTACTATGTGGTGAGAGTTGCCAGGGTACTATGTGGTGAGAGTTGCCAGGGTACTATGTGGTGAGAGTTGCCAGGGTACTATGTGGTGAGAGTTGCCAGGGTACTATGTGGTGAGAGTTGCCACTGTACTATGTGGTGAGAGTTGCCAGGGTACTATGTGGTGAGAGTTGTCAGGGTACTATGTGGTGAGAGTTGCCAGGGTACTATGTGGTGAGAGTTGCCAGGGTACTATGTGGTGAGAGTTGCCAGGGTACTATGTGGTGAGAGTTGCCAGGGTACTATGTGGTGAGAGTTGCCAGGGCACTATGTGGTGAGAGTTGCCAGGGTACTATGTGGTGAGAGTTGCCAGGGCACTATGTGGTGAGAGTTGCCAGGGTACTATGTGGTGAGAGTTGCCAGGGTACTATGTGGTGAGAGTTGCCAGGGTACTATGTGGTGAGAGTTGCCAGGGTACTATGTGGTGAGAGTTGCCAGGGCACTATGTGGTGAGAGTTGCCAGGGTACTATGTGGTGAGAGTTGCCAGGGTACTATGTGGTGAGAGTTGCCAGGGTACTATGTGGTGAGAGTTGCCAGGGTACTATGTGGTGAGAGTTGCCAGGGTACTATGTGGTGAGAGTTGCCAGGGCACTATGTGGTGAGAGTTGCCAGGGTACTATGTGGTGAGAGTTGCCAGGGTACTATGTGGTGAGAGTTGCCAGGGCACTATGTGGTGAGAGTTGCCAGGGTACTATGTGGTGAGAGTTGCCAGGGTACTATGTGGTGAGAGTTGCCAGGGTACTATGTGGTGAGAGTTGCCAGGGTACTATGTGGTGAGAGTTGCCAGGGCACTATGTGGTGAGAGTTGCCAGGGTACTATGTGGTGAGAGTTGCCAGGGTACTATGTGGTGAGAGTTGCCAGGGTACTATGTGGTGAGAGTTGCCAGGGCACTATGTGGTGAGAGTTGCCAGGGTACTATGTGGTGAGAGTTGCCAGGGTACTATGTGGTGAGAGTTGCCAGGGTACTATGTGGTGAGAGTTGCCAGGGTACTATGTGGTGAGAGTTGCCAGGGTACTATGTGGTGAGAGTTGCCAGGGTACTATGTGGTGAGAGTTGCCAGGGTACTATGTGGTGAGAGTTGCCAGGGTACTATGTGGTGAGAGTTGCCAGGGTACTATGTGGTGAGAGTTGCCAGGGTACTATGTGGTGAGAGTTGCCAGGGTACTATGTGGTGAGAGTTGCCAGGGTACTATGTGGTGAGAGTTGCCAGGGTACTATGTGGTGAGAGTTGCCAGGGTACTATGTGGTGAGAGTTGCCAGGGTACTATGTGGTGAGAGTTGCCAGGGTACTATGTGGTGAGAGTTGCCAGGGTACTATGTGGTGAGAGTTGCCAGGGTACTATGTGGTGAGAGTTGCCAGGGTACTATGTGGTGAGAGTTGCCAGGGTACTATGTGGTGAGAGTTGCCAGGGTACTATGTGGTGAGAGTTGCCAGGGTACTATGTGGTGAGAGTTGCCAGGGTACTATGTGGTGAGAGTTGCCAGGGTACTATGTGGTGAGAGTTGCCAGGGTACTATGTGGTGAGAGTTGCCAGGGTACTATGTGGTGAGAGTTGCCAGGGTACTATGTGGTGAGAGTTGCCAGGGTACTATGTGGTGAGAGTTGCCAGGGTACTATGTGCCATTCTTGCAAGTACATTTGTTTACCTCCCATTCCCCGGGTGCTATGTAAGCCCTGTAGGTTTAGTGCTCGCCCATGATTATAATATTCGTGATGATAATTGTATAAAGCAGTTTTAATTATATGATCTTTCATATTTAAAAAAAAAAATTTCTACATATATTGATATATTGATTTATATGTGAATGTATAAGAAAGGAAATGAGATTTTTTTTTTACTGGTTTAATATAAACCAACTAAAAGAAGGGACCAAATTTATCTTTGAAACTAAGAGATAAGAAGTGCTGAGGAATAATGCTGACTCAAGGTTTCGACTCTGGTAAAAAAAATATTGATCCAAGGGATTGGAGCCGCTCTCTTTTTCCTCCGATCAAGCCTGATTTCCCCCCCCCCCACGCTTCCCATTCTTCACGCGCTCTATGATTGTTACGGGTTTAAAACTTTTTTATGGATAGATAAAATTAGTGATCACTTTGTTTACAGTTCATCCTGGCTTGTTGACCTTCATGGTGGGTCAAGGTCACCTTAGATCTAATTCAGTTTGGATCAACTCGTCTTACTTTAAGTTTCCTCTAAATCAAGGTAGTTATAGATCAAAAAAAAATCTAGGTCAGGCCGCTGCTTGGTACAATTCTTCCTGGACCAAGTTCGTGAGATTTCAATAATTTAGTGAGAGCAGAGGTACAGCTGACACGGTTGAGCTTGTATTAACCCATCCGGGTGAGAGCAATTTCGCCTACCTTGCCATAATCACTCTTAACAAAGCAGTGTCCCATCAGTGTAGCTCCTGTTCAACAGAGGTGTACAATCAGCGGAAGTGTCCGATTAACTGAAGCGGCCTGTCAGAAACTGTCGCATGGGACTCTTCATTGTTGTTAAATACCTATT